AAAAAAAAAAAAAAAAAAAAAAAAAAAAAAAAAAAAAAAAAAAAAAAAAAAAACATTCAACCATTTTCCACTTAAATGACAAACCGGCAGCTTCATTTTTTCCGCAATCGCAGCTCTCCCTGCTTTTAGCTCTCGGAGGTGAATTTTCCTCAAAGCCAATCCAATGAGGTGTGCCTATACTCTCGACTAATGATCCACGAGCCGGTATATACATATGGCGCTCCTAATGACGCTTCATTAACAAAGAGCAGAGGACAGCAACAAAGGAATCTTTTATTCCGTCTTCCATTATGTGTATATACTTGTATATGTTTCATCATCAAGTGTATACCCACCTGCATTTTGTTCGGCTCGATTGACGCACTATACGACCCGTACATAGATAGGGCCGGCCTCGATTTTTTTTTTTTTTCCTTTTTTTTTTTTTTTTTTAACGCTTCACTGCTCTTAAGAACACAATATCGCGTACTCACAGCTTACCGATCGCTCGACGGGTTGCGCGCGACGTTGTCCTCCCGAGCTTTTCCAGCCCTACATAGTCCCCGAAGGAGCGAGTTTTACCAATCCACCACTGAAATTCCCACTCGGATCGTTTCATAATATGCTTACTTCTAACAGATTGATCACGGGGGCAAAACGTACAGCGAAGCTGTAAAAACAAACTATTTGCACTTGCACCACTGACCATACACAAATACGTATATATATATATATATACAATGCGCTTTACTCGCAAACACTTGTACTTATTTGCGTTTTCACAATTTGCGCGAAAAAAAAAAAAAATAAAATAAAATAAAACTTTGCCGGCGAATTTTATTGCTCCCGCTAAGCCGGCTGAGAAGAGCAATTACTCGATCTCGCTAGCGAACGCCTTGCTCTCTCACAACGCGTAGACGGTGGCTGCGATACGTGCACATGAAACCCAACTCGAGGCGCGTTTATCGGCCGTGTATACATTAAAGGCTGTTACTTGAATATATATGCGTGCACTTATATATTATTATTATTATATCGAGGCAGTGGTGTGGATGATGATGATGATAATGTGTGTGGCGACATAATAATCGACAGCGTAAAGATGCGAAAATCGAGGAGTGAAACGGGCACGCGCACCTTCATTGATTCAAATGTAAGTGCGCCGTGAATAAGCTTAGTTGCTGATGGATGACCCCATGTACACATATACACCTATATACGGTGCGCTCCTTGCATACGCAATTCCCAAGAAATTGGCATTTCAACTTATAAGGAATTTCAAATCTGCAGCCGTGGCCATCACACGCTGCACTTGAACGCTTTCCGCGCGCCTACAGGTCTGATAACACATTCACGTGGTGCCTACATGCAAGGCGAATGAATAAACGGTTCACTTTCTCGCGCCTAAATTTATGCGTAGGTCTAGTGCAAGTGCGTTTACTGCATTGGATATATAGGTGTGTGTGTACTTACTTACTGTGATGTGTACGATGTGGATGTAACCATAAAAACGTTCTCGGTGGCACTTGTTGAAATGTCCATCATAAGTATATTATACAGTACTCCACTCGTGCAATGCATGTAAGCGTCAAAAATTACTATACGCGTGTGACCGAGTTTTTATCATTATATGAAAAATCGGAAGTTGCACTTGAGGCGTCAAGTTCAATTCCTTCGAAGTCGATTATTAGGGCCTATAGTGATACTGCTAATATGTATACATACATACACACAATTACGCCTACTGGCAAATTATTACGTGCATTTACCAAACTGTATATACCTTATAGACGCATATAATATGCAACCATAATGGGATATTTATATTGTTTAGATGATCGAATTGACGGTGGCGAAACAAGCACACGTATACATTTATGGTGTCGTCATATGTAAGTGTAAATTCACAAAAAAATGTACCGGATGTGTCCCCCGTTGTAAAAAAAAAAAATGTAAAGCACAGCCTCGAAATATGGCTTATTTTGCTTGCAAAGGTTCCAAGTATAGGAAAAAATATTTTACCAGCATATACTAATATAAATGAACTTATGTACTTTTAACTTATGTTCAAACCAGTGCTGTAGCATAAGAACTAATAAAATATAATCAAACTATACTCATTCGTATTATGTCTTAATTGAGGTTACGTTCACGCGACACTTTGTAATTATTAGGTGATGAGCAGAAAAACAAAAAACAAAGGTTTGTGTTGTCAGTTAGGACAGCGAACACGTCCTCACGTTATGATCATGGGGATCGGTAAACCTGGTGTAGGTATATATCAACAAAATAAATGAATAAACTGAAATCTCATTTTTAAACAAAGCTAGGGCGAGTAATTAAAAATAGTGAAATAAATTGATCAAGAATTCAAAGGTTCGGTTGTGATTGATCAATGGTCCAGAAGATCGTGAAAAACGCACAACGAAGGTTAATCAGATCGGTAAGGTGAGTTAACTCTATAATTATAGATGTTTATTTTCTCGTGGCTCATGTTACACTTCATTGTTGAGATATTTATGAAGTAATTCATTAAATCCATTAGCCGACAATTACAGTATTTATTATATTTTTATTTATTTTATTTTTATTTCCCGTTAGATGGCAATGATGCTGATTTTAAAGTTATTATACCAAACAAAGCATTAACATTAATATAATATTAATCTACCAACATTGTAGACAAGTTTTGTACTTGCAACTTTATAGGTATCCCGTGGTCTTGGTATAACTTTGAGATCAGCATCTATAACGGGGCTCGTACTTCCGGAACAAATCTCTCTGATCTTTTTATCTACATATGGTATAGTTGCAACCTGTCCATGTAACAGCTGATAGTTAACCTGGAGAGCGCGTTTAATCAAAGTTCCGTATTGTAACATTCCACCGTTCCTGTATTATTGGGCTATTTGGGGTTATAACATTCTACCGTTCCTATTTCATTGGGTTATTCCATTCCATCGTTCCGGGGTTTTTGGGTTTTGGGGTTATCTCATTCCGCCGTTCCTGTATTATTGGGTCATTTAGGGTCCTACCATTCTGCCGTTCCTGTCAAACTAATCCGTTGTTTTTGCATTCTGTGTGTAATCAATCCGCAATTACCATTAGCCAACCATGCAGTTACATATGTAAAAGACACACTCTATAGTAAGACATAAGTTTGATGTGTTTGATGCACTGATGTGTACCTTAATGTTATCGAGACTCGTTCGATTCATCGATTCAAGTACTCTGAGCGACCCAAGACCCAAGATCGAGTCATTGAGGTGTATTTATATTTATTGCCAAGACTGTAAAAGTGTAAACTGATAGTTATAAGAACACTCTCCTACGACTTTTTGGCGGTGTTTTGGAATTAAATGTAATGGTAGTAATGAGTATGAATTTGCAAGCATGATGCACGATCTCAAAAATAGTCAGTACTTATGTTATTATTTTAAAGCCTTACTACACATTTGATACTGTTTTTGACAAAACCATGTAGTACAGGTTGCTATCAGTGAATTTATAAATATGGAAAACATTGTTTTTTATTATTTATACAATAATACCTTCATTCCCCCTTTACTAAAATACTTGGTGACAAAGTTAAAAAGTTTAAGGGTGCAGGTGTGTGCTTCACTGGAACGAACATTGCAACAAGGTATGATTGGATTTACAACCCCCTCATCCATCTCGAGTTTTTATATGCAAGTACATAAGTATGAATTTTTTTATAGCTGGTGAGCTGTATAACAATGTTGATTAGCAGCAGCATGATCATCTTGATCTCCATGGTGGGCAAAATATCATCAACAATATTTGTTTGATTAACTATATAAATCAACAAGTACAAAGGTTTACACATGGGACAGCTAAGCCAATTTTGACAGTCCACTTTTGACTTTAAGTGTTATGTAAACTGTTGAAATACTTTGCTTATAATGTCTCTTTTTCCTGCGTATCAAAAAGACCCAAGTGAAGACACTTCCAAAAATGATTATGATACCAGTAATCATCAGGACAAACATGTCAATGAAAAACCAGGGTGGCTTGAAAATTCAAGTTACCAAAAAATATCTGAGTGTCTACACTCGTTGCCAGAATGTGATACTTGGACTGATAGTTCTGATGAAGATCTTGATCCTACAAAATCCAATGATGGCATTGATCACGTGGCAGATGTATGTATTGATGATGTTGAAATTAACAAGCCAAATAAAGGTCATGATTCTCGTAAGGTCTCCAAAAAACAAAAGAAGCATTTGGAGAAGAGTCGACCATTTGCAAATGATTTATGTTACGAAGATAAAAGTAGGAATACGAGACTTTCTTCTCTAGAAACTCTAGAGAGGGCTGTGAGACCCAGTTATAAACTGTCCAAATACAAACTAAATCTTAAGGATTACAAGAGAATTAAAAAGGGCCGCTTTCAAAGGTATTATTTAGTCAATGTAGATAATGCAGACAGTTCCACAAAAGCAGATACAAAAACGGCAGCTGAACAAACATCGACAACAACATCGGAAGTCGATGAAGTACTCAGCAATGAAAAAAAAAGACAAAATCTTGAATTTGAAAGCAAGGTAAAACTGCAGACCAAGGATTTGAGCAAAAAACTCGCAGAATGTCCCACTGATACGAATACCTGGCTTGAGTACGTATCGTTACAGGATCAAATTGTCCAGCTCATGCCATGCTCCTCTGGCAAAAAAAATCTCAAGCAAATGATCAATCAAAAAAAATTATCCGTTGTGGAAAAAGCTTTGGCATCGAATCACGATTCTGTTGAGCTCCTAAAGACAAAGCTGCAAATAATGTCTGAACTCTTGCCAGCTGATCAGATGGCGGAGCAAATAGAAGCAATGGTTAAGAAGGACCAAAAAAATATTGTCCTGTGGCAGAGCCTCATTATGGTTGTTCAAACGTCATGTGCCCTCTGCAAAGTCTCCAAAGTATTGAACCTGTACACCAAATGCTTCCCAATACTGAATCAAAAGACCAAAACAAATCCAAGGCTGTACGAGAAGCAGGCTCTTGAAGTACTGTACCAGTGCTTGACCTTCTTGCGCAATGCCGGTCTGTGGGAGCAAATGTGGGAAATCATGAGATTTAATTTGTGCCTAAATCTTGCCTTGGAGCACGAAGCTCTGAGAAAAGTTCAACCGGTTGACGAGAAGACCCTCATGAGCATGGAGGAGCTCATACTGACTTCCAAGCTTCCATTGAATCAGTTGTGGCTGCGCATCGAGTCGCTCAGGGAGAGCTGCCACTGGACCAGCGTCGACGTCAACAGCGTCGACATCAATCTTATTGGCGACGACAAACGATTGGTGTCCGCCGAAGACGTTAGCGACTTCATCTATCCCACGATATCGAAAGACTCCAACTTCCGTATGGTCATCTTGTTCATCTTTTCCCTAAAAGTCCCTCTACTGCCTAGTCGCCACTGCGTACTCGAGGATTTCAATTTCGAGGAACACTGCTGGAACATCGACTCCCTGGAGTTCGTCTTACCGATGATCTACTCGACAATTCAGGTTGCAGCTGGAGAACAGTCGGAGAACTGTCTAGCCGGTAACCGTACGTTGATGAGAGACTTGCTCGAGGGGAAGCTGACGGCAGGTCCCCAGTGCCTGAGGTATCATCCTGCTCGGGCATCGTTTTTGGACTTGATCCGAACCGTGTTCGGCACGGCGGCGCAGAACTTACCAGACCCCCAGAGGACTGGCGTCTACGTTTGGTGGCTGCGCTTCGAGAGGCTGCTTATTTTTTTGGCCAAGCACGACACCCTGGAGGAGACAACGGCAGTAGCGGCGAACAGGAACAAAAAGCTCAAGTCCATGGTGAAGAATTTGCTGAAAAAACCCGAGCACCGAAACAATCTCCATTTTTATCGGGAGTTTGCCCTGATCGAGCTAGAACTTGGTGCTCGCGACACTGCCCTGAGGATATTGAGAACGGCTATTTCTTCTCAAACTCAATCGGCGGGGTCGCATCTGAGCCTCGATGAAAAATCGGCGCTCTTCAGTTTGTACAGGACAATTTTTGAAATTTTACTCGGCTCGAAAAGTGAAGAGAGTGCAGACGTCGAGGTCTTCCAAGAGGTAGCTGAGAACATTGCCAAGCTTATTGCCCATAATGCCAACTACGCCCATGACATGCCCCTGGAAGAAATGCTGTACAACGAAGTATTACAGTTCCTAACGAGTCCGGCACAGGACGAAGCTGATGATGCATTTTTGCTTCCAAACATCAACTGCGACACACTTGTTTGTTACACGTACTACTTACTATTGAATAACGATCAAACCGTCGACGCGAGCGATATCTTGGATCTGTTTGACAGATGCTTGGGGCATTGCGACAAGTGTCCCCGCTTAAAAGAGAGGTTTTACGAGCTTAAAGTTTTGTTTTTGCAGTTTTACCACGGTCGTGTGAAAGAAAGTCGCATCAACGGTAACAACAACAACAACAACAACGACACCAATGGCCTGCTGAGTGCAACCGTCACGGAAGCTCTTGGAGAATTTCCCAACAATTTCCATTTGTTGTCTACCAATGCATTGATCGAAAATGAATTGCCGTGTTGGAAGATAAGGACGTGCACCGAGAAAAACGTCAACGTCTGGTCGGTACTGGCAAAGTGCTTAGCTGGAAAAGCTCGTATCACGAATTTAAAAAGCATCGGGCTGACGGATTCTGCAGACGCTATGGTCAACAAGATGCTGTCTTTTCACAAAACAGTTTCTCAAATGAAAAAGGTGCGGGATTGCCCTTTGATCTGGAAGTTTCGCATGTTATTGCTACGAGACCACAATTTGTGTGAGAAAAAAGGCGAAGAGATATATTACGAGGCCGTTAATCAGTGTCCCTGGGCCAGAAGTGTTTATTTGAATGCCGCGGAAATCGCTCCACAGATTTTATCGCAGATTCAAGATTTAATGAAGGAAAAAGAAATACGAATACACGTTACGCCCGAAGAGTTGGATATTTTGAGGGAGTAAGCCTCTCTTGTTTTCTGTTAAACGAAATAATGTATTGTTGTAAATTTTTTCTGTTTAATATATCATCATTACATGTAAATAATTTTTTTTGCTAACACGTAACACATACTATATGACACGTGCGCGGTTTCTAGTTCCGATATAAACGTGCAGAAAAATAAAACCACTCGTTGAAATAAATTTAAATTTTTTAAGCAAAAATAGTATTTATCAATTATTTGTTTTGTACACAATTTTACCGCTGCATTTAACGTTAATTGACACTACCACCTCCAAAATCTCAGTGTTTGAATTGGGCGCCTGATAATGACGTAGGGATTATGTAATTATATATACCTATAGAGAGTGTACATAGTGTGTGTGTCATAAAAACAGCTGTTCTGTTCCTTGCAAATTGCAAATTTAGAGTTCTATATACATATATTTATAAATTTCGATTTTCGATTTTCGATGCGGCGATGTATTAAGCACCTATACCTCTACCTTGCCGATCTGGGAAATATATAGGTATACAACAACACATTCCATCTCTAGCAGTAGTAGAAATTAAAGCGCAGAAAGGCTCGTGTGTAAACTCTTGAATAACGTTATTCCTAAGAGCTTTCACTAGTCGAATTATAAACTTTATTTCTACCTGTAATACAAAGTGCTAAAAAATCATCAGCCATGGTGATGCAAGGACTGACCGCAAGCAGTCTCAAGAAGAACCCTGCTGTAAGATTGATTATTTAAATCCTTTTTATAATTAGTAACGTTGAATTGTCCAGAAATGGTTACACAGATAATTTTATTTATTTCGTTCATCTTTTTTTTTTTTTTTTATTAGCTTATCCCTCTGTTTATCTGCCTTGGCGTTGGAATGGCTGGTGCAGTATTCTATACTATAAGATTGGCTGCAAGATGTCCAGATGTTTCCTGGAACAAAAAGAAAAATCCCGAACCCTGGGAATACTGGGCAGACAAGCAATACAAAGTAAACCTAACTTTTTTTCGTTGCTGTTGTCACCTTTGTCTTATATCCTATGATACTAATGTGTTTGCATTCTTTTTTTTTTATTCTATAGTTCTATAGACCCAGTGGCAAAGATTTACCACCAAGCCCGGCCCCCAAGTTCTAAAAACGAGTTTACCATCTAGCCGAATCTGAAGATAGATGCTGTATAGATATTTATCAGAAAAAAACATCAATAGCTGCTTGCAGCAGCTTACCTGTTTTACTGTGTTTTATTATGTAAATTTACATTCAAGATTTCCTGTACTGAAAATTGTGTACATGTCATAAATATACGTGCACTTAAAGTTCTGCTTGTAACAGTGTTTCAACAATGTTTCAAAATAAAGAATGCCTGTGCGCGTTTTAAGAATTGATCATGTGAATCAAATCAGTCGTGAGATTTTCTTTATAATTTTCAAGTCTTTATTTAAAGCTTTGGATACACCTACAATTTATTCAGGTTACTTTGAAGTAGTGTTTAATAAATGATTTAAGAAAAAATTTGAAATGGTACTTCTCATTTTTTTCTTCTCATTTTTTTTACTTGAAATACTTTGTACAGTGAGTTGGCCTTTAAAGTAAAGAAATGAATTCCAACCTAAAACTATTGGTGAAATGTTAGTTTCTCTACTCCAATCCCTATGTCTTGAATTGAATTAACAGATCTAGAGCTATAAGATATATCAGCCCAATTTTAAGTAAGTATAAGAATTAACAGAGTTACAAAAGTAATTTTTGTATTGCATACCGGATAAACATTATATAAGAGTGTACTATACAAGAGTTGTCTTCTCCATATATACGTGTTGGTGATTTTAAGTGTATGAACCAGATGCTATTTATTTTAATAGTGCACTTAGTGATGCAGGTGGTGCTTTTACAGGTATAAATACAGCAATTGTTAATATTACATTCTACAGTGTCAAGACAATGTCATCTTGGGAAGAGTTTTACGCTAAAAGCTCAAAACCATCAGATCTGGATAAAAACGAAAATCTTTTGAAAAAATTTGTAGAACACCACATACAACAGAAAAATTATATTGTTTTGGTCACGGTCAGTATTCATTTTATTAGTTAATCAGTTATTTATTATAAAAGCATGCTAAACAATTTTTTTTTTAAATATATTTTTTTCTTGTAAATTTAGAGTGGAGGGACGACGGTTCCCTTAGAACACAATACAGTGAGATTTGTTGACAATTTTAGTGCTGGAAATCGAGGAGCAATATCAGCAGAATATTTTTTGGATCATGGTTATGCAGTAATATTTATGCACAGGTATGTACTTAATTTATGTGCAAAATAATTAATAGGTACAATTTTCCAAAACATTCTATATATTTCATATCTATATATTTACATATGAACTGACGTGGCGTCACTATCACTATCGGACTTTTTTACGTTAATTTGCAGGCAACTAGTGGTCAAGTTTTCGGTTAATATCTGGATGTCAAAAGTGGAGAACTAAGCTGTTTTACAGTATTCTCACTATCACTTTAATAAATAAAATTAAATATTATTGTTAACCGAAATCATGCAAATTCACGTAATGAGAGCCCCAAAGCAGTTCTTAGTCACAAAGAACTAGAGGTACCAATATGGTAACTTTGACGCAACCAATACATTTATTCATATTAAAATATGAATGTCGTACTATTGAAAACCGTAATTGGTTTTTGTAAAAGTATCCCCCATATAGATTTTGTTCTAAAATGCCATGTCAAGAAATCCATTAGGATTGTTACGTTTGGGTTTGATTAGTTGCCGATACACACTTGTTATTTTATTATCTATTCTATTGTTATTAACAGGACCAAGTCCTTGGAGCCGTTTTCTCGACATTTTTCTGGACGTAAAATTTTAGACATGTTAAATTTATCCATTGAAAAAGATGTGCCTTCCATATCAGGTCAGAAAATTCACGAATAAAATCAAAAAAATCTTCAACATTTTTTTATTTCCTTATTTTTCTATAGTTGCACCTCAATACGTCAATGAAACAGCCGTCATTTTAAAAAAATACAAGGAAGCTCTAGACAAAAATAAACTTTTGCAAATAAGTTTTACAACACTTTCTGAATACCTTTGGCTGTTGCAAAGTACTTGTAAAACGTTAGCTCCGGTAGGAAATCGAGCTGTTTTGTATTTAGCAGCGGCTGTGTCAGATTTTTACATTCCCGCAAGTGAGATGGTAGGTCTTTACCTTTGTTATAAGTATTTGCTCACGAAATTTATGTAACAGTGAAAGTCAATTGAGAGTGATTTCTCATTCACTCTACTTAACATGCAAAATATATACAAAATATTTTTAAACAAGAATATTACTTAAAAAAAGTGATAACAAGCTAAATGATGAATTTTATAAAATTGTAGGCTGTACACAAGATTCCATCCGACGATCCTCTAGCTATTAATCTTAAACTAGTTCCTAAAATGCTCAAACCCCTTGTCAATTCGTGGGTCCCTAAAGCGTTTGTAGTTTCTTTTAAACTTGAAACTGATGATGATATTTTAGTTTCCAAAGCTCTAGCTGCTTTAAATAAGTACAATCACAATGTAAGTAAGATGAAATTTAAATTCACTGTATCGATAATTATGAACATATCAAAAATAAATCTTTTTTTTCATTTTAGCTGGTAATAGCCAATAATCTACAAACACGCAGACGGCGAGTTATTGTTGTAAGTAAAAAGTGCTTTGAAACGTTAACGTTAAGTGAGAAACAGCGTAAAAATGGTGAAGAGATAGAGAAACTTATTGTTTCTGATCTTGTGGAGAAACATCAAGAATGGATATCATCAGCTGATTGAATTGCCAATTCTTAAAAAAAATAATAAATAAATTGATATCAGTACAAAAAATTAACATTTTTATTTTAACTGTATAATCAAAAACATTCTTTGAGCTGTTATTATTGCGATAAATTTTATATACATGTACATTAAATAAATTATAAAGGTCTATATTTTTATGTACAATATCAAATATGATTTAATAAAAGGTATTTTTAGCATATATATTACAGCACTTATTTTTTTGCGCTTCTTATCTTTTCCCTTTTAAAGAAACCATCATAGCACTGATTTTATCCTGTAATCTTTCATCACTACATCGAGATAGTATAAATGTGAGAGTGGCCACATCTTTTTGCTCCCACGCGGTTTCTGCAGCTTCTAACAACATACTACAAAATTTTCCGTTTCATTATTTTTCCGCAATAAACTAATGACACTTATTTTTATGATCTCCTACTTACTTTAATTTCATTAAATACTTGACTTTTGACTCTTCTTTGATTCGAGGAAGATATTTTTTAGCTTCCGTATCTTTTTTGAACTTTAAACATTGGTCTATGAAAGGCTAAAAAAATACAGCAAAATTTAAGGGGACGGCTTTCGCTAAGGCATCAATGCACTTGAAAAATATACTGTAAAAATTGTACTACCTCGTATCCAATTGGTGATTTTTTACTCTTGGAAAACTTTTCCAGGTCACTCCACAATTGCTGTTCTGCTAAGCATTGTATTTGTAGCCACCAATACCTATCACATGCGAATAAATTTTTATGTAGTGATGATTATGCCTTTATATGATTGCAAAAACAGCGTATTAATTACTTGTAAAATTAATGTAGTATATCACTGGTTTGACGAAAAGGAAATAAAAATAAAAAGTTACCTTCTATCTGAAAACTTGTATTCTACTTTCAATTTTTCGGCTAATTTTATTTCGTTACGGAGAAGCAGAATTTTTACAGTCTCATGAATTGGTTTTCCCAATACAGACTCATGCAAAGTTTCTTCCAAAGAACGCTGGTATCTCAGCAACTTTATTTGTTCCTGTGTCAAGGCGGCATTTGCTTCAGATCGAGCCAATTTAAAATTATCAAAAGCAGATTGTAACATAGCTTCTTTGGATGTTGGATTCTTTGAAAGCATGTCATTTGTTAATATTGAACAATAATAAATTGTAATTTTTACGATTTTATTCGATCAATTTACCTGGTAACTTTCTCTAACAAACCAAAGAGCTTGAGAAAAATATTCATCATATTGATTAAAAATATCACGTAACGTTTCTCGGTTATGATTTTGACAATACTTCGTATATAACGTCATGGCCAACGGACAGTGCATGATAGTCATCTGTATAATAAATTTTACGAATAATTATTTAGTGAATTAACAATATTTGATTGCGAGTGATTTAAATTTAAATGAATGGAGAAGAATTATCGATGCTTCATAATTATACCTATAAATAAATAAAATACCTGAAAATCTGATAATGGCATGTGTTCTCGTAAATGTAAGATGACTGTGTAAACTAAGTCAGTATTTCCACTTTCCACTGCTTTATTTAATGCAGCTTTTTCTTCCCCCAGCCTCAAAAGGAGAGGAACTTGCAAGTGAGCTTTTGGTTCATAATCAATCAGCTAAAATTTCAATATTTTGTTGACTTGGTGCTAACTAATTTTATGTATAAATTTAAGTATCACCTTTATAGCAAGTTGTTTTCGTCCACAATCTGCAGCCTTGATAGCGATTTCACTGTAGGACACACCTGGGGCATATCCAAGCTTATCTGCGATTTCTTCTGCAATTTGTTCTTTATCTAATTGTGTTTGTTTTACCTAAAAAAAAATACATCTATGATTTTTTTACGTAAATGACAGCCAGTTATATTATAGGAGCGTTAAGTCACTAGTAGTTTATATCACACGAAATTAATTACCAACAAACCTTATAACAGGCCCAATGAGCTAATATTCTGCTTTCACCATCAATTTCTGGAAGTTGGAGATGTCTGGCAATTTGAATACCGAGGTAGTAATGTCTCCTGGACACCAGTCGATCCAGCATCACTCGACATGTTAGTGTGTTTAATCTGAAAAATATTTTCCACTAAAAAACTAATTTCTTAAGTTAAAAAAAAAAATTATTTATTTTCAAGTATCAACTTGAAAAAAAGACAGCCACGTAATTACACTTAAAAAACATACTGGATATAAGTTAACGGTAATCCGATGTTAGGATGTCTGATAGCATTTAGCACCCTTAAGATTCTGCACATGTCAACATATGGATCCGGGTTAAAATTTTTACTAAATCCTTTTCCGAATTTTGCTGCCTTGAGAAAAGTAAATTTTATAAGATGAAACATAAAATAGCCAAATGTATTTAAATGTGAATTTTCACTTACTTTCATTAACAGTTTTTGGGTTTGAAAATCAAATTCAAGACCAGCAGCATTGACGCAGTCCATCACAGCAGAATCAAGCTTATCCTTAACTAAATCAATGTAACTATCGGATTTGTGGCTTCCTTTCTGAAACTGTTTTGAAGCTTCCAGAAGATAAGAGGCTGCATCCGTTGAATTTATTTTAAATATTTTCTGCACAACATTAGGAACTTTTTGAATAATTTCATGCGAATAGGCCGTTAGAACTCGAACACAGTCTATTTCTGTGATCAGACGCACTGGTCCATCATACGAAAAGGATATTACTTCACCTCCCTTGGAACAGCCAATTATCATCAAATTCTTATCCCAACAGCAAACCACAGCCTCGGATCCGCACCTATTCATATAATATTGAAAACTTGACGACATTACTTAAAAAATTTGTTAATTAAAAAAAATTTTAATTCACGGAAGTGAATTCACTAACCAGGCAATATCAGTTAATGGATCTTTCATATTTGTCATGTATTCGCAGTACTTTTCCTTGAAATTAACTGATCCAAGGTACAAAGTGCCATTATCAGCATATAAAGCTATGTGTCGATTATTCGCTGAAACTGCCAGTGCACTTACGCTACTAATTTTATTGCTAAACAATTTGTTCTACAAAGTGAGAAATAAATTTTATTTTATTTGAAACTTATCTTATCAATAATAAAAATTTATTGTGATATAATAAGCACTTACAAATGGCAAAGAAACTGGCGTTTGATAGGAATGATGAAGCAAATAAATTCCATCTTGATTTGCTAATATAACTTGACTCTCTCGCTCTTGTGGTACTACACACCAAGTTGTAATTGCCCCACCGATCTCTATAAAAACAATAATGATGATGGTAAGAACATTCATACACATGTTTCGAGTTACATTTTGTATATAATTAGAACTCACTAGGTATATCGGAAAACTTTCTAACTTTTGGTTCTGAAATATTATTCACTAAAAAAATCCTATTTGCTGATGTAAGAACAGCAACTCCAGTACCACTAATGCTTGGAAAAAATTTAGCTTCTAAAACTTTGGTTTCCTTGACTTCCTAAAACAAAATGCTAGGATAAATATTAAAACTTACATAAAAGTTTAAATTGTTTAACCCATGGGTTCAAAAACTATTTTAATATTACTTGTTACAAGATAACATAACATATTTTTTAATAACTACGCGAAATGATTAACAATTAAATAGTTTAATTTTTATCTACTGAATATTCATATTTCTTATGTAATTTCATTAGTTACCTCTCCCATGCCAAAGGTGTGCTGGTAATTACCAAACATATCATAGATTAGAACCATTCCTTCTTCTTGCACGCACAATAATTCTTCTTGATTTGACCAGCCCATTGTAATTAGTTGCCCACTGCTCCACTGATCACAGTGTCATAAATTTTATCACAATTTTTTAAGTTTCAGCTAACTGTAGTTACAATTGGCTCACGTAAATAAACAAATTCTTGTACCTGCATTCTTGCCATTAAATTTCCAGAAGACGAGAATAAAGATATGAGAGATTTGATCGAGCCTTGAATTTTCACAAACTTCTTAGGATTTCTAGTGATAGCTATTGAACCACCATAAGGAGCAAGCACTATCAAGTTGTCAGGATTAGTCTCATGGCGAAAGGAGAGAGGATAAATTTCGAATTTTCTAAACAAACAACATTTATATTATAATACGAAGCGGTTGAGTTTTTTTTAATTTTTAAAACATACAGAACTTACCGAAAGTATGTGTCTCGACTTAATGGAAACCAATCTGCAGTTAGCATTACCGACATTTTTGCGATTATTTATTACGTGAGGTGCGTACGTGTAATATCTTATTAATTCCAAACATTCGATTGAGTGAATGTTAATAATTATCGAGACAATGAAGATTGTAAACCCATGGGAGAAAGATATAGGCAGTGACGCAAGATGAAACTGAAATATAAATTAACGGTCAGAGCAATATCGAATAGTTTCGAACGTTGAAGATGTCTACCCCTGCATTTACCTACTTGAATTTGAATCTAACTAACTTTTTCGCGAAAATTACAATAAAAGCCAGTGTACGTTCGAATAGTTTTCGTCGCGGATGTATGTTTACCTCAGTGATTTCCTAACCTGCAATTGAGAGTCGAATCGGAACCTTAAACCGTAAATGGTTTTGAGATGAGTTTTATTGAAATAAACTGCAAAAAGGAAGACCAAAAGTTACAAACCTGCTGCTTGAGTTTTAATAAGCCAGTTTTATTAATCACTGCAGTGCTAATTGGCAAATTTTCTAATAGGTAATGTATGGATCATATTCATAAGTTAATTGCAAAATTGGAGTTTTTAAGCTGATTGACAATTATAGGATACTTCCTCATAAGTATCAAGGCTGTTTGACACCTGAGCTTAAAGTTTTAAAACTTTGATCATACCCGTCCCACCAGAGATTCACTAAACTCCCATTCCCGTATTAAGGATATTCGTCTCTATCTCTCTTTCTCTCACACAGGCAGCTCTCTCTCTCTCTGTACTTTGAGAGATTTCATTCAAATCAGCTGTTCAATTCTGTTCAAGATTACATTAGCATTAGAAAAATTAATTTGAATCTTGTACAAGTGCTTAATTTAATTTATTTATTATTATTTTTTTTTTAACACTTATGCAGTTATACAAAGAATGGAAATTTTTCTTTCGTGGTTTCACGACTCCGTTTCATTTATTTACAAATTTTAAGTCTTAAAAAAATATGTACTCGTTAAAAATGTACACATTGGAGTGATATTACTGTCGTTCATGAGGATTTGTTATTTTTTAAATCCATAACATAAATTTTTAATGCTTGTTAGTCTTAATTTGATTATCTATCAAGTGGGCTGGGACCAATACTAGTTTTTTAATCATCCCAGGCATGTTGGAATATTTCTGAACTCTCTGGAGTGTATTATGTTTCATATAACAAATTTCAGCTTCCGACACAATTTTACACACATCCATTTTTATGTCAGCTTGAATCTTTGGAGGTAATTTTTTAACATTTTGTGCAATGTTTTGAAAAAAATTGTCGATGCTGTTGTCATAATCAAAAGATTTTTTTGTGCTCGAAATACTTTGCAAGCTTGGTTTTTTAGGAGCACTTGACAAATTCAAGTTTGATGCCACATTCATGTTGCTAATATTGTTGAATTTCCTCTTTCTAGGCTGTATTTTTTTTATCTTGGTTTGACTCTGTCCTTCGTCAATTGGCTGTTTTGTAGTTATTTTTTTAGGAGATTTAACGTTACTTTTCTTACCGCCATTGTTATCCAGAACATGTTCTTGCTCCAAGGTGGCATTACTGTTCTCAAGTGTCTCTAGATATTCACTGTAATCATCGTCATCTTGACTTTCTTCCAGTTGATCCAATCGGTCATTTGAACTAATTACTTCTCTATTTATGTCGTCAATGTACTCTTCTGACAGTTCAACGTTGCATTTACTATTCTCTCCGTAAGGGATCTTTAAGAAATCCAAGTGTGGTTCGAATACCCATTTTTTTCTCTTCAATTCTTTCGGCGTCTTGTTTTTGTACTTTAATATTCTACAGTATGTATCCCTTAGGTTTTTCCACTTTTGTTTGACCCAGGAAACTGATCATTTGATAAAAAAAAAAAAGAAAAAAGGAGACAAAGAAATAATTAAAGTCAAAGGATTTTATTGTTTACGTGACACATGCACACGAATATAGGAGAAATTACTTACTGTCCAAGCCTAACTCGTTCGATATTCTTTTCCAAACTTTTTGACGAAACTCCTGGGGTTTCACCACATTGCCCTTAACTTCGGAAATGTACAAGATTGGGTGTTGTTTTATCACTCTGATTAAGTTCAAAACTATTTGAAACGAATCTGGAGATCTCGGCGGCATGACAATTGTAATGAAAAAAATGAAACACCGTTTTCTAAATGTTCAATTTTAATGTTTGTATCGGAATTTGTTCACGATGCACGAGTGATGGAGCAGCCGAAACGCTGAGAGCGCGGCAAGCGGCTAGAAACTAAACTATATATCGATGGCGCGAAATTTGAAGCCAAACTATTGGGTATTTTCTTGGATACCTATAAATATGATGTTGTTAAAAAATCATAACGTTTTAACGGAGACTTTGGTAGTCAAGTGTGGCGCCGATACTTGAAATAATATTTTTGTTTATTGAACTTTTCAACTACATTGTAATTTTTTCATCCATTTTACGCAATAAAATTTGTTTTACCATTAAAAATCGAATATTCTACCTATTTGTTACAACGTACAATGCATTCAACCAATTAAAAAAAAAAAAAAAAAAGATCCATGTAGAAAATCATAAGCTTCAGCGAATCAGGTATAGTTGTTCGATAGTATATCTCGCGCGTGCATGTTTTAAAATGTTCGTTGTAACAAACACGGAGACTGAAATGTGATCGAGCTCTGAAAGAAGTTGCTACACCTATACTCCAAAAAAAACGAAAGCATCACTTATTGTTTTTGAAGTAAGATTTGTCGAGAACAAGTCGAACTGGAAATCTGGGTCGGACAATAGCCATCTGTCGATTTTTGCGGGCGGGACAATACTCGGAGACTTTCGAAAGTGAAGTGCGACATTATTCGCCGGTTACAACAGTACGAAGCATCGTCTGTGATTTCAGGGTCAATTGCGGTTGCATTGCCCTTTTTTTTTCTTTTTTCCGGAGGACCCGTTGTGCGCTCACTGCATGAAAAGATTCTCCGGCGGAGGAGGATCTCATCAATTTTCGGGCGACATTCGGGCTTATTGAAATAAATATGGGTCAGCGGCTGGTACACGTTCGAAAACAAATAGCATTGACCCAAAAATCCACTTAAACTTTTCAAGCATATTATATACTGAAACATGTGCGTTATGTCCCAAATTCGGTTCTCGCAAATAACCTATACTGATAACATTGATTGCACAAAACAAAAAAAAAAAAAAACCTTATATACTTGTATCTATACTTGGTATGACTCAATGTAGGCAATCATCCAACGCCAAACACTTGCTCCTCTTTGTAACCAAAATAATGATCCCTCATGCGTGTAATGACCTCAAATGATCGGGGACAGCATCTCGGTTACACCCGCGATGAGGCCGCGTACGTAATAATTTTGAGGGAGGGGGGGGGGTACCGGAAGCAGTAAGCGATGAGCGGGAGGGCAACTTTTCCCCGGGCCGCAATTGAAAATGATTTGAAAGGAAAGGAAACCCACGACGATGGATGACATTTGCGGGAAAGATACAAGTACCTACATATACGTGCGTTACGCGTGGAGAGAAGCGAAAGTCCCGCTTGAAGTTAATTATATATATATATACACGTGTATAGGGCTGATGGTCCCACACCATCACTGCGCGCTTACGGCAAAAGAGGGGATCATATAATATACACAAAGCGATCGCCCTCCGGTCCGTTGCTCCAGAGCTGCACGGGTTCTCTTGTGTGGGTATATGTATAATTGACCGGAAGCGGGCTCTCTCTCTCTCTCTGCAATCAAGGACAGTGCCATCACTTGGCACCTGTTCCCTCCTTTTCGAAGCGCATCTCGTTTCGTGATGTGTTGTTACACTCTTCTCAGCCGAGCTCCAGCATCTTTGAGGGGCAAAATCAAGCGAAACAAATGAAAAAATTAAGTCATGGGAATACAACGAAACAGTCGTAGGTAAAGGTATCTACATTGGTTTTGGTCTAAACAATACACCACGTATACTTATACCTATATATATTATGTACGTACAACGACGAAAACAAACAGGTGTGTGTATATGGCAGTTTACACGCATCTCTGCGCGCTCCTCGAAGTGTGACGAAGACTTCTTCTTCTTCTTCGGGTATTACTTACTTTCAGCAGGAAGTGCATTCCATAACGAGTAAGCGATACCCTGAGAAAAAGACGCGCCGGTGAGCGATGAAAGCTCCGCGGCGACGAGTCATTCGTTACGGAAACCATACAACTTTGCGTCTCTGTCTTGTTTACACCCCTTTATTTCTCTCTCTCTCTCTCGCAACCAATATAATGGTAATTGAAGAAAAGCAAAAACTACATACACATGCTCAGGGTATTTCATGCAAATTCAACTCGAAGGTGCACATAATGTCAGTTATATACGCGCGATTGATAAAACGGGGTGGTATATCATAAATATATATATACAAAAACTCGGGCGTACACGATGTATACGTGTATTGTCCGTCGTCCGCCCGTATCCGTATATACATATATATGTATATATGTGTAGCAGCTCGTGGTGGCCGCAAGCCGTGTTAAGCCGGCCGGCTGCACGTTCCGCCAGGTGCTGAAGCATCCATGGGAATTACGTTGATAAATCATCGCGATTCTCACGGTGGTCCAAACGCACGACCCGCCAACTGTTCTCCTTGATAAAACCGTACATATACGGCAAAGGCTGTGTAGCTGTTTCTTACACAACCCACCGCTCGCTCTTTTTTCTCCTCCTCCTCCTCCTCCTTCGTTTCCTCTTGTATAAAGGTGTACATATGTATACTTACCCCCATACAATTTCTTATCGCCAATGGTCTACTATACTATATTCTTGTATTTGTTTACTCTCTTTTTCTTCTTGTTCATCCGCATTGAGTTGACGTACCACTTACTCTAAAATCAGTCTACCTCTCCAAGCTTTGATTTTTCACGCAAGTCTCAAATAATCGTGAATTTATTGCCGATACAGAAAGGCCAATCTTATCTATTGGCAAAACTTTTAATACACGAGTCAACTTTTACAACATTGTATCCTATACGTATGAATTCGATACGAGTCGCGATAACCGATGTACCTACTTGTATTGATTTCAGGTGCGAAGATGAAAGAAGAAAAAAAACTCGGACACTCAATCCTTTGACCCGCGAGAGTACCCGATGTACTTATACTACACGCGTACGTGTACACAATATATTATATGTTATACGCGTGAAAATAACCCGTACGGTATACATTACGCACAAGGTATACGTATACATACGGGCGGAACGTCCGTACACCGAAAGCGTTCCCACGTCGATAGCAGAGGAGTAATCAGCTGCATATGTCACGATGATCGTTCACGGAGCCCACCACCTGCGGGGCCCTCCAACTCTTGTGCATACACCCATTTAGTGTATATATATGCAGCACGTATATCCAATGGTGTGTGTGTGTGTATATACATATATTTGTACGTGGGACCCCTCGCTCCTTCGCTCGCCGCGCCGGATGAGACACGAGGTGAGTGTAATTTCGTTTTTATTATCATTGACAAACGTCCCTCTTTTTTTTTCCCTCCTCCTCCCCCTCCTCATTTTCTTATTAAAGTCACGTGCGCCCTTCCCCCCTCACTATCTCTCCTTTTGTATGCGTGTTCAAGATAGAGAGATAGATTAAGCGGATGGTGCCTGTACATCGGTTGACATTTTAACGCGCATTCCCCTTTTATATATCAACGATACAACCATCAGAATATATATGTATATATATTATTCTTGTGAGCACTTGTTAAAAATTAAGGCCACGGGCATACTCTGATCGACTGACGGCCGCAAAAAAAAAAAAACTCCCCGATTTTTCTACGATTTACCATTATCCCGAATGTCACTGCCAAGGACTTTTTGATCTCCATCGCGCTCGTCTGAAAAATTCGACGTGTACGTACAGACACGGTCAGCTCATTATCTGTCACAAAAAAAATTTCCGTTAATTGGCAACGAAGACATAATTGTACATACACTCAAACAAAATAAAAAAAAAAAAAAAACGTCGTCGACAATAGTGTTAGACCCATAATATTTATACCTGCAGCTGAAAAACAAAAGAATTCAGCCGAGCCTCCGACAATGGGCACGAGGGCCGATATCCGATGGTAACTCGGATTGCCAAATGTACATTACACGAGTGTATATTGTTAGAACCGCGCGCGTGCAGCTCGTACATATTTATATGTTATATAGGTATATACGCGCGCACCCCTGTTGCAAACAGTCCCGGTGTGGTCTTATATACATCGTATGCGTATAGAGGTATGCCGGTGTACTGCACGTGACGCTCTGCAGGAATGGGCCCAGGGGGTGAGACAGACCCGTATATAGGGGTTGACGCGAAGCCGCTCTACATATAGATATACAAGATCAGGGTTCGCCTCTACTGGCATGGGGGTAGGTAGGTAAAAGGGGGTGATGCCGATGGGGAATTCCGACGGACATTGGCGCAACACGTAAACGCGGGGAGCTGTGTATTACACATGACTATAATCGAACGGAATCGCGTGTGCGAGCTGTATCGGAACGATGAATAAGGGAAGCAAAAGAAGGAGAGAAATAAGAGCGGCGGGAGGAGGGGAGTTCTTGAATGCTGCGAGTGTGTTGTATGTATATATACAGGGTCTGACGCACGCAAAGGTGCACGTCTGTATAGAGTGTATGTATATCGTCATCGCCCGAGGGAAGAGACGACGAGGAGGAAGAGAGAAGAATACGGTGGATGGATGGGGGGGTGGAAGGGGGTCCCGAGCCTACACGTGGGAACCTGGCACGTGGGACTCGCGCGTACGTGTAATGTGACCACGAATGGCCTTGACACCTGGACGGCTGCTACTCCCGGCTCCCGCTGCTGTTATTACCACCGCCGAGCGTGTGTGTGAACGCGCGCGCTATGCTCTCTTGGCTCCCCTCGCTCTTTCTTTCCCTCTACCTATAGCTTTTTTTTTTTTTTTTTTTTTTTTCCTTTACGGGTATACGTGTGCTTTCCACTTTGGATTACATCATCCGATGCTGTTGCAATGCGATTGTTTGGTGGTCGGAATTACATGTGTTGATTTTTTTTTTTTTTTTTTTTTCCTTTACGGGAATTTATCGAAATTCAAAGAGCGTTACGTCTTTACCTGTGTGCGGAGGAATGCTTGTATACGTATATATGCGGGCTGGCTGGATATAT